ATATTTTTGTCATTTAAGCTCGTATTATGGACACTGAACGAGTACCACTAAGTAGACCTTGTGTACTAGTATAGAGCGAAGGAGCGTGAATTTCCGCAGTCTTAGAGTATCTCAAAGACAAACTGTACGCTTACCTTTGAAGATCCTGACCCCTGCCAGATGCGAGGTGAGGGTCCGCAGTTGCAGTAGCGTGCCATTTCTCCGCTCAAAAGTTCTGTGCAAGGAGTGGTGGGTAGTGATTGCCATGCCGTTCCTCCACCCACCAGCAAATCAGCGGACGCAACGCGCCGCGCGACAAGGCCTGCAGGTAATTTCGGTAGAGCGTGCCATCAGTCTGTCCGTTCTTATGTTTAGTTTTTCTCCCTTGACCGGTGTAGGCATTTTGCCATACTTGTCGCTTGTGGGACAACTACGAGAAAGTGCCGGCAACGGTGAAGTGCAGAAAACAATCGAGTATAAGAGGGCGCAGTACGCTCAGCATCGACGCACGTGCCGCATGTTGTAGGTAAGGTTGGAGTTCAGTACAACACCCAGGTACTGCCCTTCGGCCTCGTTCCCGTGCACTTCTAACAGGAGGAAGAGATAGACTATTCCAGCTAAGGACCCACTCGTCTCGCACATGGCAAGGATCCATTTATGGTTAGGAAGTGCGTGTGCTTTTTGTCTTTAAGGCTGCGCTTTGAGACTGCGTTAATATTTTGTTAATGAGGAATACGTGATTCCTGAGATAAAGGAATGCATGCTATTGGCAAGGAGAGTCCGTCATTCAAAATGTTCCGGAGAACTGGCGGCCAAGGACCTAATGGAAATGACTTGGTTCCGCGTACTAGGAAATTCTCTCACTCTCTCGACCAGTCTCGAGAACACCGGTGAGGAGAGTCGCTCGGTTACCATCTTGTCCTCTTAAGACAACTCTCCGCTATCTCAGATTTCTTTTGGATCGATGCGTATATTTCCTTTTGCCACCATTTCTGTCAAACCGCAGATTCTTTACGATCGCAGTGTATGTGGATTCCGGCGCAGTTCGGCG